CAGCAAAATGTGCCTCCAGCCACAAGAGGGGCCCTGCCTCCCTCTCCTCGAGTCCTGGCAATTAGGAGAAGGGCTGTCGAGTCTGATCTGAGAGCCTGAGTCCCTCTGGAGCCCAGAGCCCTGCTCTGTCACGTCTCTCTCCAGTTGTGCAGTGCCTGGCAGAGCCCTGTCAGCTCAGCCCAGGCGAGGAGCAGTGTGGTGTGTGGCACATCCTGCCACGAGACTGAGCCCCAAAGGGAGCAGGGATGTCACACAGCTCTCATCCCTGGGCTGCTGGGGAGCATCTTGGGAAGAGGCCAAGCAAGAAAAGGCAGGCAGCTCTGTGCACATCAGCTGGGAAGGCACTGGGACCTCGTGGCTCTGAATCACAAGCAGGTGCCTGAGACAAACATAATGGGGGGTGCTCGGGTCTGATCTTCAATCAATTAGGGAGTCAAAGAGCAGCAGCCTTCTGGGAGGTAGGAAATAGCTTTCCACTTAGGAAGGCAGGCAGAGGGAAGGCTGACAGTGCCAGCCATTAAGGCTTCATGGAGGTCAGTAATTTCCCTATTAGAAAATGGGTGCTGAGCGAGGGGAAGGCTGGAAAGCTGTTCAGAGAGGTGAGGGGAGGGCAACTCGTCCTGTCTGGGCTCCATCCACGTTCCTGTGTGGACAGGGGCAAGGAGACAGTGTCCCACCATTCCTTCAGTAAGCACCTTCCCTCCAAATGCTCTTCCCTGGTTGGAAATAACTCTAATCCCACGCCAGGTGTTAGACACTGGGGTCATACTGCTGACACAGCCAGAGAAGGGTGAGGGGGGGAAGTGACCTAAAAACAGGATGAAGGACTTGAAGGGCAGGATGAGGTTCTCCAGAAATCTGCTCCTCGTTGCACAGACACCCTGTTACAGGACAGCTTCTGTTATTTCTCCTCAAAATGGCTTTTATCTCAGTTCATTATTTGGCGAGGAACCCAGCCCGTTGTGTGCTCTCATTGTACAATCTGCTACTACTTTTGCTCCCAATTCTCTTTTTTAATTTTCTTTTGGTAAAATAATTTCAAAGGCATTTTTGCCACACGTATCCATTTGCACCTCTCCTGCCCATTCCTCAGCCCCGTGTATGTGTTCACTGATATCCCACAAGGGCTCCTTCAGAGACAGGTCAGGTCAAAAACTTTCACCATTTTAACAGGTGTTTGAGCATTACTGCCTCTTATTCTCAGCCACAGCATCACATTTTGCTGGGGACTTAGACAAAGCTGTTCCTAACCCACCCTGTTAAATCTCAGATGCTCCGATTGCATTTCTCCCCTTCTGTTTCCCTCCCCTCCCACACTAATGAAAGAGGCCAGTCTTTAAAATAGAAATTAAATTCATGCACCCACAAGACAATGCTGGGCTTAAATCCAGCAGCATGTGAGGATCTTTACTGTTAAAGCTGAGCCTTATTCTCTGGCTGCACTGGCTTTCATCTCCCTGGTGTTTCTTGGGATAACATAATATCCTTGAAGGCAGTTTTCACCTCAGGGTGGAAAAGCTCCCGAGCTGAGGTAATGCATTTATCAGGGCTGGTTGGAACCTCCCTGCGAGTGTAAGGAAGTTAATGCTCTCCAAACTATTGCAGAGCAATGGAATCTGGAGTCTCCAACTTAGAATCAGGGAATCATTAAGGTTGGAAAAGCCCCTCTGTTATCACCAGGCCCAACCTTTCACCCAGCACTGTGTTCTCCACTAATCCCTGTCCCCAAGTGCCACATCCACACGTTTTTTGAACACTCCCAGAGATGGTGGTTCTACCACTTCTCTGCCTGTCTTATTTGGTGTCTAGGATAACCCAGAGATGGGTGACAAAAGAGAAGACAGACCTAACTTTTAGTTCAGCTTGCTGGGGAGAGGCAGCTTAGTTAACTGTCTGTGAGAAAGGAAAAAGGCAAAGTTTTTTTTTTGCCTTTTTCTACCTGAATTCTGCCCTACATAGTCCTTGTAGCAGTGCAGCTATGCCAGCATTATTTTGGTTAAAATAACTGTACAGGTGACATTGGTACAGAAATGCCCAATATTGACACCATTCTTTTTCCCCAAAGGAAAAATGATGTTCACAGCCAGACAAACATCCTCGCCAGGAGTCAGGAAAGCTTAACCAAACCACGGGAGTTTAGACAATGCAACTGCTGCATGTAGGCAGTGTTGTAAGAGAGCAAGATCTGCAGGAAGCTGAAATCTGATAGGAAGAAAGAAAAAACAGGATTTTTCCTCTGCTACATTGTCCCAATAACCCTTGGAGTTGAGTGCCTGGAGTCTGTGTCAGCACGGTGACACAGTTTTGGAAGGATGTGGTTGTGAAATCGTTTGGCATCTGCTGAATGCACTGACTTCAGTGGGAGCTACAGGTCTCTGCTCCTTTCTAGGACTGCAAGAACCTGCCAAGGCAGGTGTCCTCTGCCTCAGATCTCCTCTGAAGGCCACCACCACGGGCAAGATCACAGAGGAAATCGGTGTCAAAGGCGAAGGTGAGGGACCGGACAAGAAACTAAACTTCCAAGCTTCCTTTTCTAATCCCCAGAGTCTTTTCTTCAGACCTCAGAGTAACAGAAAGCATTCCCTCGTGCCAGCAGGGGAAGGAAAAACAGTCAACACAGATGAAATTGGGAGCAGAAGAAAGCAGAAAAGGCAGCAATGTTGAAAGCAGTGAGGCAGATGTTTATGATGGCATGGGCACACAGGAGGGGCAGCCAGGGGTGCAAAAGAGGGAAGCACAGGTTTGCTCAGGCCCTGACCTTGTTTTCCTATCACAGTTTAACCTATTTCTTCCTCTCAGTGGGGGACAATAAACCCTCAGCCCAATCCATGCCCATCAGGGAGGACACAACAGGTGAATTAAAGCAGAAAGCAGATGGGGCACTGTCTCTGCCGGGCCCCAGCTGTCGTGTCTGAGCTGTCTCGCCTTTATGCTGGGCTGTGCCTCCAGAGCCAGCCCCATCCCACCTTCCACCCCACTCCCTGCCTGCTAATGACACTGGGATCACAGCCAGAGCCTGCTCCTTCCAGCAGGGCTGAGCAGGAGTTGGGCCAAGCTTCCCATTCATGGCTCTGGAACAGCTGGAAACGGCCAGTCCTCCCCCTCTTTGGGACAGGGGCACCCATTTCCAAGGGACAAAATGCTTGGAAGTGCTGGAGGATTGGAGCAGTGGATGTTCCCTGCCTGGGCACCAAGCACTGAATTTCTTTTCTCCTCTTCTTCCTGCGTTCATCAGGAATGCTGCCTGCCCTGTTTGCTCCAGCTATTCCAGCTTTCCCCCCCCACACACACACACACTCTGCATCAGAGCTCCCAGGAAAACAAAAAGAAGAGCAACTGTACAAAAGCAATTAAGAGTCTAATCTACCTGGTAAGAATCCCGTCCTCCTCTGAGGAAACAAGACAAAGCTTAAACAAGAGACCTTCAGACAAACTGATTGAGAACTACTGGAGAGCACGGCAATACCAGGCTGGGGGACCACTGCCTAATAACCACTAAGTATTTTTCCTTCATTTCCTAATAAGCAAGGCGAAGCAATTACAGTAATTAAAGATTTAAGATAAGAGCACTTTATATTTGGGGGGCCCGGCATATCAATTATACAGTTATCATGTTGTTCTCCCTCCTAATGAGACAATCTAGCACTATAATTTTGCAGCATTAAAAGCATAATTAAAGGGGGCAGGAGAAGAAGGGCAGTTTACCAAAACTGATTAGGAGGGTTTCCTCTCCTCAGTGGCTCCTGTGCACACACACAGCACAGATGCATTTCCCCAAACACCCTTCCATTTCCAAGAGATAACCCTGGAACATGGCTGTTGGACAGCTGCAATGATAAACCCAGGCTTTAATTACAGGAGGGTTTTATGGGAAGAGCTGGTTGCTGGTTTTGTTGTTGTTTTGCTGTTTTCTCCCTACTCCCAAAGCCCTTGGTTGCTGAATGTACCAGCATCTGTTGGAAGGTAAGGGGGAAACAGCTTATCTTCTCAGAGGCAAGAAACACATAAAACATAAGAAAAGCAATTACATGCCTTCAGTTCCCACTCCTCTGTTTTTATAGGGCTTGTCTTAGAATCTGAGTGATTTTATGCATCAGAGGGAGATGACAATCAAGATGAGTGGCAATGATATGCATGGGAGGCTGAGGCACAGTGCCTTTAGGTATCTATTTTCCTGTAGTTACAGCTTTTCTAAACTTCCTATTTTTTTCAGAGGGATGAGAGAACCCAGAATTTTGCAGCTGAATATTGTGGGCACCGAGACCACACATGAGAGCCCAAGTGACAGTTACCATAATATAACTTAAAACAATCCCTCCTCCTCTTCCTCTAGTGCTGCACAATTCCAGGAGAAATGTGAGTGGTACTGGGAAAAACAGGATCAAAGTATGTAAGTACTGAGGTGAGCCCTCACCTGAGTTACTCTTTCCTGCTGCAACTCCATCACTTCTACATCACTACTACAGAGGTTCTCAGGATGCTCTTTGACACTTGTACTTCAGGACATAAAACACCACACACTGCTGCTCCACACCTCCTTCCCAAACTTTGCTCCCCAACATTAAATTACCCAGTTTATGTTACATCTGAATTTGGGGACAATTGACAGCAAAAGGCAGGATTTTGGACGCATGCACCCATGCTGGGTATTTTCAGACAGCTCTGTATAACCCCACAGATTACCTTTTGGTCATGCAGTTCTTTCGCCACAAAGACACAGAGCACTGGGCAGAGAGTGAAACAATTTACAGCCTGCAAATCCAGATGCCTTGAGGGCAAACACGAGGCCACACAGAGCCCCACTCACCCCAAACAGGGGTGACTAAAGAGAAAAAAAAAGACCCAACTACTCTTTCTGAGCTATAACAGTGGTATTTGCACTCTGATTTCAGGCCCTGGGGGTGACTCCACGGGGCAGTGTTGGCTCACAAAGGTCACCTGCTGCCCAGTTCTCTGTGCCTTTGCTCCTGCACTTCAGCCCTCCCTGGCAGGAAAAGTACCTTCTTTTCATGATACTGATGTGGAGATCCTCCTCCTGCTTTACTTCGGGGTGCTGACCATTGCTCTTGTCACTCTCTTCGCTGTCGTCGCTGTGTGAGAAAATCGAGGTGAGCTCTTTCTTCGGGATCCTGGTGGGAGGTAAAGGGATCGTCCTCTTCTCTGCCAGGCGGCCCCGGTTCTGGAATTCGTTGGAATGGGAAAGGGAAAGAGGAGGAGAGAAGAAAACAAAGGATTTGGTTAGGAAACTCAAACCCAAAGAGCTCCTCTCAAAGAGCTGCCCTGAGAAGGCAGCACTGTCAGTCCCACTGTTGGGGTGGGTGGGCAAAGGCCCTGCTCACTTTGCAAGAGGCTTTGCAGCAAAGGCACAGCTGTATCTAATTCTTCTAGTTCTAACCAAGTCATGCCCTTCCAGCCTCTCCCACCTCTTCATTCCTAGCTTGTGTCTGATCCACATCGATAGGAAAGGGAGATGGCACCAGTCTTTCCCTCCAGAGTATTTCCTACCAAACACTGCACATTAACACAGTGGAGTAAGTTCAATTAAACCTCTGCCAGTAGCCCAGGGAAGCCATGATCCAGATAATCCAGAGCACTTCTGACTGTAAAGGGAAAACTGCCTGTGCCAGCCAGCAGCAGGTTCCTCTCACACCACTGAACAGTCCACAGCAACTTCAACCTGAATTATTGAGGCTACTTCCCACTGCTCCTCTGCATGTTGAGATGGATGGAGCCTTGCAGAGGTGTCCCTCAGTGCTCCTCCCTCACCAGCTCACTGGACATGGCACAGCTACGCAGGAGGAGAACTCCCAGGAGGCCTTTTTCCTCACGTTTACAGAACCTGGCACAGCTTGACCCTGGTCCCAACCTCCTCCTCTCTTCAAGAAGTGAGATGTATCACAGATCACCCTGTCCCTGCAGCCTCTGTGCTTGATCCACAAGAAGACACAAACCCAGTGCAGCCTAAGCCAGACTGTGCTGGGCTTTAGCTCCCACTGGGACAGTACAGGCTTTTAGGATTGGGGTGTTTGGCTCCATCTGTGACTGACCAAGACAAGAGCCATAACATGAGCACTCCCAGTGGAAGATGTACACTGGAAATCCAGGGAGACTGTGGTGCCTTTCCCCCCCTCAACCACCCAGAATCTAAAATTTTAGCAAACAAAATTATGAAACTGGGATGGGAACCACAGCAGGGGGAAGTGAAGCACAGTTCTGTGCACGTGCTTTGTACAGGAAGAAAGGTGTGTGGAACAGGCCAAATAAGTGCAGAGTAACACTGAATTAATAACAAGTTTCTCTGAAGCATCGATTCCAACTTTCCAAGTAAACCTGGCAAAACACAAAGGTCCTGAGTAAGCCAGTCAGGCTCTCTGCAGGGGAAAACCAGGAACACTAAGTGATGGAAGAGCCCGTGCTTTTTTTAATTAAATAAATTAGGAACCTTCCACAAACACAAAACAAAAACTTGTTTACCTCTGTCAATAAATTCCAGTTGTGCTCATTAAGTGGAGTCCTAATCGCTGTGATAATTAGCTAAATCCATCTGGAAGGCATCACCCCAAGGAGCCACGTTAGAGCTTTCCCACCCTGATGCAGGTCCAAGCCAAGAATGCAGCTGTCTGTGAACAGCAGACACCCAAGGGAGAGCAGAGCACTGGGCCAAGCTGGCATAAAAATGGGAAAACACGTCCACAAGGAGAAAGAAACACACTTTATACGCTGTGTGTGTCTCCAACCCTCACGTGGGAGGTGCATTTCCACCCCTGCCCCTCTCCTGCTCCAGTGCAAACAGAGAATGTGCACCAAGTTCATCCTCTGCCCAAAGTCACCTCAGGAGCACGAGGTCACTCAGAGCCAGAAGGACAGCAGGGAGGTGAGGAGAGAAAGGGAAAAGCGAGGGGATGGAAAAGAAAAGAAATGAGGGCAGCATTTGCACCAGATTTCTGTCATGGACCAGCATGAGCTTCATCACCCAAAGCTTTCTGGGTTTTTCAGGAGTTGCAATTAAAGGGGACGGGGAGGGAGGAGGGGTGCAAATTTCCGCTCCAGAATAATTGGAAATCGCTCTCTGCTGTGGCTTCGCAGGCTAAAGAGAACGGCACAGATCAGACACTAAAAATCATTTTATGGCCATTATGGCACCTCGGAGCAGTTAGCAGGTCTCAGTGACTGCCCAGGGACTCGTCAGCCCTGAGCAGAGTGAGAGTGCAGCAAACAGGGAGGCACTGAGCCCACGGAAACAGCCCCCAGGCCACAGCAAGGGCCGCCCCTTCCCCTGCTCCTCAGGGTGCTTTTTCTTTGCCTTTCTGTAAATTGTACCCTTAAACCTAAAGCTGCTGCATATGCACACACATATAACATACAGACATTGTAGATGTACCTATATAGGTAACACCTAACACATCTTCCCTTAAAAGGCAAATAAATGAGCGTGAATGGAGAAAGAGAATTTGCATCTGCAGCGACCTCTGGTCACAGGTGACCTGCCCTGCTTTTGTAGGACGACACCAGAACCAGAGTGGTTCCAGTGTCCCTGTAAGCCCCAACATTCCAGCCCCAGCAATACATTTATTTTTTTAAGTTCTGTTTACTCTGTACTTTGCATTTTTTTGCCATCAGGTTTGGGGTGCTTTTATTTATTTATTTACTGCGTCTCTCAGTTCGCAGAAAATTAAAATAGACTGAGCCAATCAATTTTGCCTTTTATATTCATCTATAGTCAGTTTTGAATCAATTGCACTTTCTTAATCTGTTTAGAGGCATTCACCAGTAGATACACATTACTTTGAAATTAAGCACAAAGGTAGCCAGAAGCCTGGCCCAGAACCTGCTGCAATCAATTGCCTTTCCATTGACTTGAAAGGGCGCTGGTCCAAGCTGCAAACAAAACAAAAAACACACTCCAAAACACACACAGGAATCTTTCCTGGGTTTTGCTGAAGGTTTTTTTCCAGTTGTGCAGACAGATTACAGAACAGCAATGTACCTGCAGAGGTGAGCAGTGGGTTGAGATACCTACAGTGACTCTAATTCAGGGTTATCAAGTACCAGTGGCAAGTGGCAGCAGGTAGGAAAGTCTGCACTGAGCAAGAACACACCCAGAGACTGCAGTGGCATCACCAGATATGGGGAGGTACATTACGATTTACAGGTATTTGGTGTAAAACTCATAATCTCACATTTAAAAAGCTTGTGTATGGGTGGCAGTGTCACTGCACTGACCTCACACAGCCATGGGATGCTGATCTTCAACCCTGTCATAAGGTTTGAGCATTTTTAAAAAGAAAACTGCCTCTCAATTGGTTGAGACTCATTGGGATGTCTGATGAAGGGAGACTACACAACAGGTGGAGAGAGACTATTTACAAGGGCCTGGAGAGACAAGACAAGGGGGAATGGCTTCAAACCGAAAGTAGGTTTAGATCAGAGATTAGGAGGAAATCCTTCCCTGTGAGGGTGGGGAGGCCCTGGCACGGGTTGCCCAGAGAAGCTGTGGCTGCCCCATCCCTGGAAGTGTCCAAGGCCAGGTTGGACAAGGCTTGGAACAACTTAGTCCAGTGGAAGGTGTCCCTGCCCAGGGCAGGGGGTGGAACTGGATGACCTTAAAGACTCCTTCCAACCCAAACCATTCCATGATTCTATGAGTCTACGCTTGGGAAAACAACCCAAAACCAACAGTCACATACTGTGAGAGCCTGGGACACTCCTTTCCCCATTAAATAACCCCATTTTTACACACCTGAAGAGCGGGGGGAAGGTGTCCTCTGCCAGCTGGCTTCTTTAAACCAGTTTTGGCCAGTGAGTCAGAAGGAGCATTTTCTGGGACTGCAGAGCCAGCAGCTGTCCCAGCAGGGGCAGAACCCCCAGCAGAAAGATGAAGGACACGTAGCAGTAAATACAGCTCAGAGCTCACCCAGCACAGCCAGCTTGCCTGCCTGCCAGCTGCCCAGTCCAGGAGGACAGACAGAAAGTGGTAAGGAACAGAATATGCCCCTGAGAGCAGGGGGGAAACATAGGACCCCCCTCCAGAGGATCTCTTCTGTGGGTGAAACAGCCAGGCAGCCAAAATGCTGATGCAGAGTTAAGGCACAGGTACCAATAAACCTGCAAGAAACCCTCCAACAACCTCTTCAAGGCCTGAGAGGAGTCCAACCAAAGAGCTTCCCTTGAGGACAGACACTGACCCAGCTCAGGGGAAACCTCTCCAGGCTTGCACCCTCCTTTCACAGCAGGAGGATTTCCCCCACTCCTTGGATACAGGGTGGAGAACACAGTATCCCTCTTTAATTAGCGTAACTAGAAAGTTAAAACGTTCCTGCAATTCTCCGAAGCCTTTGCAAGGGTTGAGCGTTGAGGGCACGGCAGAACTGCCTCGTGCATTAGGGCTCCCTTCCCCTTCATACATTGTTAAAGATTAATTTTGTGGGTTATGATTCCAGCTAACGAAGCACAGCTGGAGTTTGAGTCAATAAACCCTCCGTCCCCCCAGACAATTGAGCTCCCACCCGGCCGCTCCTGCGTCAGCCCAGCCCTCCGTCACTCACCACTTCACCCTCCCAGGGTCTTTTGACACCATTAATTGCTTTCATTGCCTCTCAAAGTATTGTCTGGGTGGGGGGTTGCTTTGTTTTTAAAAAATCACAGGCAGGCATATTTCCTTTCCCCGGGAAAAAAAAATCAGATGGGGACCAGCACGCTATTTAAAGTCACCCACTATCCAGAGATTCAACTGCAATTAAAAAAAAAACAAAACAAACAAAAAACAGAAAAAAAACCCAACAACCTGGGGACAGCAGCAGGTTACCCGAGTGGAGAAACCTGGAAGCCCCATCGTTCTTGCCATGAAAGGCAAGGACCATCGGAAAGATGGAAAAGAAAACAGTGGGGAAGTTTCTTCCCTTCCAGAGAGCTGGGGGGGAAATTCCGCTCTGGGTGGCTAAACAAGGTCAGCGGAGTTACAAAATAAAATCTCTCTTCCCCCCCACCCATCCAACCCCCTCGTGGCTCTCCCCTGGAGCCCCGTCCTCCCAGCCACGAATTCCAAAATCCGAAGTGTTGCATAAGAGCCCTGGGAGAGCTCGCAGATGGAATGACGGGCGGAGAGCATGGGACTTGGGGGAGAGGCAGGAAGGGAGGGTTAGGAAAGGTTTCCTGCCCTGGGAGCTACTGCAACAAGGT